GTTCTGTTATATATATACATATCAGTCAAAAATACAATAGAAAACATAAGCAAATTACTTGATGAACTTCACATTCTTAAATTTTTGCAATGTGAGATTACCTCACATGCAGTTTAGCCAGAATTTGAATATTTCTTTCAGAAGGAAATAAAGTTCTTAAGTTCTTCCATATTCCATTGTTTACTACATCAATAAATATATCTGTATCTATCTATTAGCCAAGAGTATCTGTAGTATCAGAGATTCATTCATAGCTAATCTAAACCAGAACAGGTTTAGCTTTACAGTACAGGACAGAACTATTTATTGGATATCCTAAACATTACTCTGCACTGAATGTATAAAACTAAGAAAGCTGGACCCAGCAGGTATCAGTCTTTGATAAACGAGTACTACACTGGAAAATCAGAAAGTTTTAATGTTGGAATCATTTACACAAGAAATATAACCAGAATACACAGAGAAAACTGTGAGACGCTACTTTTATTCATGCTGTATGCTTGAATTTATGCATTTGCATGTTGACTTCAGTATTTCTTTTAGCTTATCAGAGAGAATAAAAAGCCAAAGTCCTCCCCCACTTACTTGTGTAAAAATCGTATGTGCTTTCACAAAGATCCTGATACAACTGAACCCATCTAGTAAGGAATTAAACAGTAAAGAAACAGAGCAATACTATTTATGTCAATTTATCTCCCCGGAGTGGGGTGAGATTTCTACTTACATTACCACAGTAATACAACTGTGCTTGTTTTTTATATATGGGTGACAGAAATAAGCAATTAAGCAAATAGATGTCCTGCCTGCTCTTAATTTTGCTCCAATTACTTACAGTCTCTTCTAATATATTAAAAAATCATCTGTTCATTCAAGCGATTGAAACAAGACTCTAACCAGCACTCCTAGAAACATATGTACAAAGTTTGGTAAAGCACCATGAACCTTCATCAGGTCACCTTACCTGAAACAAATAGAATAGCATATACAAGAGTACATGAAATAAAAAGACCCCAGTTCAAATAAGTAAACTTCTACATTTACAGTGAAAAATATCTGAAATCTGCCCCATTCACACAGCTGAAAATGAAACCACTCCTTTCCATGACTCTGAAACATACTGTGAATCTGAAAATATTAACGCATGTGTTCTATGTTTACAAATACAAACCAAGCACACGCTATGTGTAAATTATGGGTCCCTGTTTTGTTGTTCCGATTTTTTTTTATACAAAAATTAATGCTGTACATAATTTTATCTACCTGTCATAAAACAGTCCCACAGTATCTTGTTCTGACTCTTACTCAAAATGACATCATTGTCTATTCCTAAACTATGTACTACACCACTATTTTTCATTTCAAAGAAAAATTATGTCTCTTCTACTTTTGATGGAATAAGCTTATATTAAACAGGTTTAGATTGCTTTTATTGAATGTACACAGCCATAAAAACTCCCCAGATTATAACACTCCTACAGTTGTTTTGTACTTTCCCTGCCTGATGAAGCTAGACATTTACTGCAAAATTCATATTCTTGGGAGAACATGAGCGCTTTTCGCCACTTTAAATTGTTAAAAAGTATTTTTTAAAGTTCAAGTTCAGAAGCTACTTTCATCAAGATCATATGAAAATAATCAAGGAACTTTGACTATTTTTCTGTAGAATTCAGAATTATAAACCAATCCTCAGAGTTTAACAGCATCTTTCCAAGATCAGTGGATATGGATTATAACCATAAACTATCTAAAGAAAAACATGACTGTATTTCATGTTTTAAATTACTGATAATAAAAATGACAGTTCTTTCCATAACTAAAAAAGTATACTTGCTACAATTTGCCTGGGAGTAAACATGTGTGAAAGCAGTAGGCAACTCAACAGGATTACTTTTTGTCAAATCTCAATTAGCAGTACTTTTAAATTTGATTTTTAAACCGAAATACATATGTCACTGGTTACCTCTTCCGTCACATCTCCAACTCAGGATCTGACCCATTAGTCTTCTGATACAACTAACATGAACAATTTAGCTTCTTTGCTGCTATGCTGTTACTATCTTAGCCTAAGTTTCTACATACTGTTAGGTATAAAGGAAAACGCCACAAATTTCTGTGAACTAAAAGAAGTGATTGATTTTTCAATCCATTAAATTATTATTTTGAAAATAAATTTGCTGGTAAATTCCTAAACAGAAACTGACTGAAACTATCAACTGAAAATTTAGAATATTTCTAGCAATTAAATATTTTCCAAAAAATTATTATTGTTTTCTGCAAGGCTGTGGTTGCCCAAGGAAAATTAGCTTTTTCCTATTTTATTCAAATTACTGTACCTAATACGATTTAAAAAACAAAACAAAACAAACCCACCCTCCCAACTGAAAAACCCAGAAAACAATGTGGATCTAACACAAACGAAATCAAGGTACACCCAGGCTACTTGTGGACCAAACACATTTGTAAATGTTTTGGGGATAATTTTCAAAGGAAGCAAAACGTGGATGTTTTAAGATATTATAATAAATAGTGCCTGAAATACGTATCTCCTCATAAATTTCTTAGAAATCATGTATTTTACTCAGAAATAAGCACAGATTACATAGATGAAATCATACCACTGGTATTTCATACAGATGAGGTTTCTTTGAATAGTCACCTAGTGTTAAGTTTTATGTGGCAAGAGATTTGTGCTACACTGTATACATAAAGTGAGAAAAGTACCTTTAACAAAATAGTAGATTTTTTAAATCTGTCTTTAACATAGAAATGGCTCAAATAAACCAAAATAGCAAAAATAACGTCATGATCCTTTCAAAAAGTTTACTTTCTACAACACCTTCACCACCATACAAGGATTCTATAGTGCAAAATGGTGTTTTATTAGGTGAGAAAAGAGATAATTGTGAGGAGGAGATAGGAAAGCAGTGTGGTGAGGATTCATACTCTGCTTAAAAGCCTCAGAGTGTCAATTTTTATAGCAAGTGCAGACCTCCAAATGAAATTGATCATTTATAGTGTGCCTTTTTTGTTTAGAATTTTTTTTTATTGCAGCAATTAGAATCTTTTAGGGTTTTTTTTTAATGACAAGTGATTAGCTGTTCTGCTGCTCTACTTAGTCATTTATGCCCATGAAAGGACATTTCCAAGAGAAACTTCTGTTCAGCAGCAGGAACTCGCATTAAGGAGGGTATTCTGTCAACACCCAGAGAATAAAGAAAACAAAGGCAAAAAATAGGTAGCACGTACCAAAACTGGTAGTCAGGTAGTTACTTAATGCCAATACCTTTGCTGAAACATTAAGAACAAAGTGCTGTTCTCTCCCCCTACCCCGATACCACCGTGACTCTAAGGCTGAAGACTGAGAGATTGTTGATGGTCTAAAGACAGACCATAAGGTTTAAGCAAAAGGAAAATGGAATTTTGTGAGCCCCTGAAGATTGACTCCCGGCCCTTAGAATCACAGCAAGCAGAGGCTTTAACGCAGCCTCTCTGAGCAGACAGACCACTTTCATCCCATTGCAGTTGCTAAAGGGGGCTGCAAGCCACACGAAAATGCTTCCCATTGGTGTTGGCCTTGCAGAACCAGGGGTGGGGAGGCAGTGGCAGCACAGGAGGTACAAGGCAGCAGCAGTGGTTGTGAGGCAGGATGACAGGGAAGGTGAAGTGATGGAGATGGCAGCCTGGGGTAAGTCTGACAAGGTTTGGAAAACCTCAATGACAGAGAGTCACAAACTCCTGAGGCAATCTGTTTAACTGTCCCAGGTTAGAAATATGTTCCTAATGCTGAACCTAAACCTTGACTGCTGAAACTTAAGCTTGTTATCTCTTACCAAACAGTTACAGATTTAGAGATGTTCTTCCCTTTCATCTCTGTGATGACATTTTACATATTAAGACAAGCCCATTTACTCTCTTTTTTTTTTTTTTTTTTTTTTTTCCTTTTTTGACTAAGTAGATTCTTTCCCTCTTTCTTGACAAGCCACATTATCTAGTTTGCTGACGATTCTCATCTGTTGCCGGTCCACACTGGTTTTGAGGCTTGGGTTGCTCTCTTGACCAGCTCTACTTACAGAAAAGACCAGTATCTCAAACCTCACCAAGGTGAAACTCCCGCATCCTCTAGCACGATATCTGCTGTTCCGTTTGAGGGAGCACGGCACTGCTGACTCATGTTCAGGTTGCGATGACTTATAGTAACGAACAGCTACAAAACTACAAAAAACCCCAAACAAGCAAACACCAAAACACCACCCCGAGTTATCATAAATAAATAAATAGGGCCACAAATCCCGTAACTGCATGCCCGCTGTCTCTCCTCGGGGCCCCAGCAGTCAGTCCCTCCCCGTCGGAGAGCGAGCGAGTGAGCGAGCGGTGGGTGGATGGGTGGGTCAGTCGGTCCGTCCGTCCTGCCGGGCCTCCCGTCCCTTTAGCGCCCACGCGTCCCTTCAGGGACAGCCGCCGTGGACGAGGTCTCATTACCTGCGCGTTGCTGCGGTCGCTGGCGGAGGCCGCCATGGCGCCGGTCGGCCGGCGAGCGCGGGTCCTTCCGCGGGGCTCGCACCAGCGCCTGCCCGCCCCGGCCGCTGGGGCATCGGCCCGACCGAGGCAGCGCTCCCCCAACACCCCCCCACACACCCCTTCAGGTCGGGAGGGCAGAAAAGCGTCAGCAGCGGGAGTAGCTGGAGAGGAGCCGCGGGTGCGCCCCGGGGGCGGATAGGCAGGCAGGGCCGAGAGGTGCGAGCGCGTCTGTGGTAGGTATGTGCCCGTACCCGGGGCGATAGGGCTAGCCAGGTCCCAGCAAGTGCTGTGGGAGGGCCTGCCGCTGCGCCAGGCGATGGCGGAGGGGGACGAAAGGCTGCGGAGCAAGGGGCAGCGGTGAAGCCGTTCCCCCCCCCCTGAGGCGGCTCGGAAGAGGGGGGGGGGAAGGGGGCGTGCCTGTCTTTTTTTCTGCTCAGGCAGTGAGAGAGGCAGCCCCGGTGCCGGTGAGGGCAGGGACGGGAGGAGATGCAAGATGGCGGCTTCCTTGTGGCTGAGGAGTGGCGGAAAGGGGTCGGCGGGACTGCTGCTGTGGGGGCAGTCAGCGTTGCGCGGTGCCGTGGCTTTCCCCGGTCGAGGAGGCTGGAGGCGTCTGCACGGGACCCGAGAGCTGCTGGGTGAGTGGTGGGCTGGATCCTGCACTTTTCGTCGTTGGTTGATGCCTGTGCGGTTGGCCTGCTGCAGGGGTGTGTGGAGGAGCTGCGGCACTACGTAAGGGATGGAGGTTGGTGGTGCGAGGGGAGAAGTAAAAGCTGTGCAAGGTGGTGGGGAAGTGGGAGTGCCTGGTGTTATCGGGTAGGTGTGTAGGGTGGCAAGGCCGAGCAGGGCCGTTGGTGTATTGAGCAGGAGAAACTGAGTAATAACGACCGATTGGGTAGCAAATGGGAGGCTGTGGAGATGGCGTAGTTTGGCAGAGTGGTGTTCGGTTTGGTCTCTGGAGGTACTGGAAGTACATCAGGAAGGGTATGGGCTGAGGGGAGAGAATTCAGAGAGAGGCGTCAGAATTATTAAAGGTCTAGAAAATGTGGTCATTGAGGGAGAATGAACTGGAGTCTAGAGAGGAAACTACATTGATGGGAGATTAGGCCTTCAAATAGATAAATATTTTGTTGTGGATAAGGAAAAATATTTACAATTGAAAATAGGTAAGTGTTTTCTAAGTGTAAGTATAGTTAAGTACTGAAAGAGAAAGGTTTTGGATTTGGTGGGTTTTTTTCAGTGTTTAGAGATTCCACTACTGTTCTGTGATTTTACTATTCTACAAGTAATCCAGTAGCTGGAGAAGGGCATGGAAGCTATATTTTATGTAATTTTTTTCGTTTTTAAATGGAGAAATGGAGTTTGAATTTATTAATTGCATGTCGAGCATACATAGAAGTCAACGTATGAGGTTATGGCAACAGCAGTTCAAGATACTTTTTCTCTTCTCAGGAGTTCATTGCTGCAGAATTACTAGGCAGGTGTTCTACTTACCTTCCATATTTCATCTGTCTCTAAGAGATGTGGGAAGAGTTTTGGATGCCCAAATTAAATGTGATCTTTTTTTTTTCCCCAAGTTGATCTGTTAGTTACAACTTGTGAAACATTTAAACAATAATCAAGTGCATTGCTATTAGGTGCTGGTGTGATAAAATACCCAAACTCTGTTTTTTTAAGTGCACTTATAAAGAAATGAGCTCTAGTTAACCCTGTGTAATAAAACTATGTGTGTTGTACAATAAAACTCAGTAGTAGTTTAGAGACATGTTAATCATTATGTTCTAGATGTCCGTATACCCTTCTTTACAGTACTGGTTGTCTTTGCTACTTTGCAGTGTGAAAATCTTTTCCTTTGCAAAACTTGCTGTCTGTGATATAGGGAAGGCTATCCCTGTTCTTGAAACAGATGTTATTCATTTTCAATTCTTATTATAAAAGATTTGCTTCCTTCTTCATATAATAATATGTTTGTCTTTTTTGTCCAATGCAGGATTAGCTACCTCTACATTATTTTGATTATCTAACTCCTTAAAGACCTCTTGTCTACAGTCTTCCCAGGCACTCTAGTGTAGTAGTTTATATCTTTATGGTGGGAAAGGCTTATTTAATATATAACTGGAGTAAATTACTGATTTTGGTTATGGAAATCAGTGAAATGTTTTTTCTTCCTTATGGTAATTAAGGTGGTTCTATCATACCTCTAACTTGTTCAGGCTTTCCTCATTGATTTGTTTCTTTGAACTCTCTTAGTATTCCTTACTGCTTTTCGAGGTGGTGCATATCTCGGTGACATTGTTTGTCTTAAATGTTTATTGTAGCCTCTAAAATGAAAACAAAGAGAAAAGTTGTGACTTATCTGATAAAATACAAATCTTTTGGATATAAAACTCACTCTTTGTTCCTAGTTTGAGAATTTAAAGTTAAGTCAGTTTTATTTTAGTATTAGTTTTACTTCTTCACTTTTCTTTTCCTGAAAATGCCACAATCTGAGATACTGGTTCGTGTGGATTTAGATTCGTTGTGTCACTTAAGTGTTTTGCTTCTCTATGTGTTTCTGTTCTCTCTGTGGTGGTGGTAGAGGAGGGAGAAAGTTGATTTGCATAGTCAAAGCAATTAATTCAGAGTTGAATTCCTTGTTTGTTAATTACAAGGAAGAAAAAAAAATAGAATGACCATTTGTTAGACGTCTGTCAACTTTTTTTTTGTTTTTAATGTTTCCTATCATTTGATATCATGTTGGAATAAATATTTCAATTCTCTACAGACTAAGAGTATGACTTAGGAAGTTATGAAGTATCTCTCCGGTGGGGCACATTAAAGCATTTGTCTTCGGTTCATTGCAGTTTTTTTTTGGTTTGACAATGCTGTAGTGGTTTCCCTATCAAAGGAGGTCAAAAAGAGGCAATGAACCCAGATGATGCTCAGTAAGTTTAAGTACAAAGTTCACTGTCAATGCGATTCTCAGATTGGAGTTAATAAGATATTATAGAAGTCTGCTCTTTTCTTAGAGCCCTGCTCTTCAGTCTGCTTGATACACTGCCTAAATATGCCTTGAATCCCTTAATGGAGAAGGAAGGAAGCAGAAACCTTGTGCCAGACACAACTTGATTCTAAAAATATGTCACCAAGAACAGATTCTCTTGGATACACTGTGGGGTTTCTTTAAAATAGCAGCTACTGTTTACATGAAGCCTTCTTTAAGTCTTCCTCCTCTTTTTTATTCAGATAATTGATATATAATAGCACAGTTACTGTTGATAGCAGTAACTAGTGGATGGTGACTTGGGAGTTCACAACTTTCATATGCTCATGGCTCTAATTTGTTATGCTGATGAGCTCTGTCTTTGTGATTCTGTGCAAATTGCCAAAACTTTCTCCTTGCCAGTAATGAAAAAGCAACAATATTTACTTTGTGGAGTGCCTGTAAGGACTGACTGTACAGTGCAACTAATGTACATGAATACAATGACTCCTTTTATTAGTACATTTTTTTTACTTAATGAGGTAAAGTATGATTTGATGAAGGAAATGGTTACTTGTAAGATTGCTTCTTTTTTTTACAGATGCATTTGAACCTGTTTTTTGGGTGTGTGCGGTCATTAACTGAAAAGTATCTAAAGTATCTTTGAAAGGAGACTGCTGTAGCTTGGGTTCTTGTGTATCGGTTGCTGAGCAAGGCTCTTAATTGCAGCGTTGCTGAACTTCTCTGAACATAGGCATCTCTATGCATGAGCATTAAATGAATGCACAAGGCATGGATAGGTTAGGGAGCTTGGAGGATGAAAAAGAAGTGGAGAAAATAGAGCTGAAGTGCACCTCATTTTTTTCCTTTCCTTTGCATAGAAGCACTTGGATTGTAGTTCTGCAGTTGCTTTAACTCAAATTCTATGCTGGTTTCCACTGCCCATTTTGGATGTTGATTTTGTTCATACTGCTCTATGATGAGCCAGATCAGGAAGCTAACCAGACTGAAATTGTATTTGTTTTTATGATCATATTAACTTCCAGCAAAATCCGTTCCCCAATCTGGATAACTGGGCAGCAGCATGAGTATTAGAACTACTGGTAGTGTGAATGAAGATATGAACATGCACAATTGAAGAAGAATATTGACCAGTTCCTTTTGGTTGTATCATGAATTGATATTAATTTAATGACGAAGAGGAGTCAATCATGCATGGCTTTAAACTTTTTCCCTTGGTTGGCCCCATTCAAAATGCAATGGTTGCACTGCCTTGAAAAACTAGATTGTGATACATTGTAGAGAGAAAAGATGCTTTTCTTGTTTAAAAAGCAGATTGTTTTGGTACCTATGAAATTACTTTAAAGCATCCAAGCACTGTTAATAAATGTGTTCTCTGGGAAGTTTTTCAGTGAAGTTGTTGGTTGCATCTGACCTCCAGACAAGCAAAAGTAATTAGAAGCTGAGTTTCAGAAATCAGTGCCACAGAATTTCTAAGTTTATTGCTGAAATCTTCTTGTACATTACTGTAATGGATGCTGTAACTATTATAATTTTGTTGTATATTTCTGCATAGTTCAGATCAGGCTGCATGTAAGTGAGGAGGAAAAGGAAGTTCCATGCAAAATAAACTAATAGAAGTAAAGCAATTTGTTGGTGTACTTTGTCCACTTTTTTTTGCTTCCATGGCTATCCATGTTATCAACATTATTTCTAAAGATCAAGTTCTTCCCTAGATAGCTCAATTTAAAACTTACTTGAGATATTACTTTTTTTAGTGTTGTGTTCTCTTAAGTTCTCTGTCCCAAAAATTTTCTCAGAGTGTCTAGACTATTTCCTCTTTGATATGACAGCAATGCAGCCTAGAAATAGATCTTAATTTCTGCTAGTGAGCAATAGGAGCTGGGAGAGGGGAAAAAAAACAAACCAACCTGCATGCGTTTTTCTAGCATAGGGATAAAATCTTCTCAGCTCTATGCTGATTCAGTTTTTATGTGTTTTTTCTGAACAACATGCTGCAGGTGACTAGAAGTTTGCAATGATTTTCTAAATAGTTCATGTTAGCTTTATGCCATATACCTTAGTTGCTATTTAACAATCAGTGTTCAGCTATAATTACGACAAACAATAAAATAGATTAAAAATGTATTCTTCCACATGAGTTACATACAGTATAATTTCAAATGCTAACACTTACCAACTATAAGTAAACTGGTATTTTCCTTTTAAATTAAGACCTCTGGTGTATCTGTTAAATTATTTTTTGTTTGAATCTATTTGGGAAACAATGTGTTTTCATATGCAAATTATTCTGTAATTTAAGCAGTATGTTGGACTTTCAGTGAACCATTTAAAGGAAAACATCTGTGACATCAGAAGTCATCCTGCAATATGGTTTAAGTCTGCGGGGACAATTCACAGAATTTTACAGCCGGATATTTATTTTTCTGAATGAAATCACTACATAGAATCATATAATATTTATATGTAATTGTTTTGAAATATAATGTCAGCAGCCTGCCCGTTAGTAGTAAACTTTGTTACCTGCAACTAGCAAGGTCTTGTGTTTAGCATCTTCAGAGGAACTGGAGTATAGAGCTAGTTTTCAAACTTTATTTTTCTTACAGTTTCTAAATATACTTCCAGATTGGTGAGAATAGAATTACACTGAAGTGA